TTTAGACCTTACTGATTGAAATGGTTATGCAAATGGGGCATGTAAATTGTCAATGTATAAGTGCAGCCCAAAAGTGTGTTGGGTGACAGGTCATCTGAGGAGGTCACCTTCTTATCAGGAGGTGTTAAGTGATGGGGGAGGGCTGAAGATGTATTTGTAACCTCATCATCTCAATCTGTCTTCCAGGTCGTTGGAAGTTCACTACTTTTTGTACATGATGGCAGTGGGAATGCCAATGTGTGGCTGATTGATTTTGGAAAGACTACCCTTCTCCCTGATGGGCAGACACTGGATCACAGAATCCCCTGGCAAGAAGGCAACAGGGAAGATGGGTACTTGTTGGGGTTGGACAATTTGATTGGCATCTTGGAAAGCATCACTGAAAGATGAGTTGAGAATGGCACAAAACTTGCCGGGCTTCTCTGTAATTTTCTGCTTAACTGAAGTAGAAGGAAACTCAGTTAGAAGGAAACCTTTAAGTCTAAGCTCCTGAGGTCATCAGTGCAAAGGAAGCTACATCCAGAAGCCAGCAGTTAGTGATCAAAATTACTTTGCATCAGCCCTCTATGGATGTAAACAAATAACTCCAGATTGGTCTGTATTGCACCAGATGAACTTGAGACTGGTCCTCAGAGAATGAAGATCTCCATACTTGGGAATCACACCAGCATGAGTCAAGAGGTCTGTGTGGTAAACCAGAATGATTGTGATTTCTGGCAAAATTGGACTCCAGATTACTTCTTAGTGAACCAGGGCAAATGCTTGGGGATTCAGGACAGAAAAAAACATTTTTTCAGGGAACTGCATAGTTTTGGAACCAGATTGTTTTTTTCCTCTCTAATTCCAAGTCTTCTTGCACCTGTGTACACTGTAGATTGGACCAACAACTTCTACCGCATTATGTTACAGTGTGAACAAGGTGGGTGATAATCAGAAGAAACCTGGAGCAAAGGGAGACAGCAGTTTGTAGTGGCTTGATGTGGCTAACTGCTGTTGACCATTCCTCCTCTTCCCCACCCTAACCTTACTTCTATCCAAGAACAGCCTTGGCTTTTTATGTAGCTTCTCAGGAGATTACAAGTACTCTAGGGAGAGAATAGCAACCTATGGTCTCCAAAACCATTTGACTTTCCAACTGGGTAGGCTGTTGAAAATGTTAGTAGCTTGGCAAGTTTGGCCTCTTGCAGCTGAACTGCAGTTCCGAAAATCACTAATGATATTTCACACACAGATCAGGGAACTAAGTTTTTTTTTCCAAGGCTTGTTTATTTTTAAGGATAAAACCCCTATACACAAGCACACAGATGCACGCACTAGTAATCAGCAAGCAATGTGATCTCTTAAGATCATGATTTGACTGTCTCCTAATATATGTGACTTCTTGGCCATGTTCCTGTTCTCAAATACAATGCTGCCACTTAACTATATAAACTGGCACAGCAATCAGGATGGTAATGTTTCTGCATTCACAGCATTACACAATGATGAAATAATTCCCAGGCATCCTTCCTCCTAGGTATCAGATGTTAAATCCAGGCAGTTTGGGTGAAGGGATGTCAATATATCACATCCTCTAGTCCCTGTCTGGAATTACAGGATGATCTGTGAATAATTCTTCTTTTGCTGTGGTTCAGGCACAGCCACAGAAAATTCACAGTTTTTAGGTTAAGAAGACTGAAGTGTTTTCTTGTAATGGCTTCACATACCTTCTCCTTGGTTTGCTCCAGTCACTTGAACAGTTCTTTAAATACTAGCAGTGTAAATACTATCATTAGTCTCATGTTCACTCACATTCCAGGTTTTAACATTAATAGTGTGATGATGCAGTTTTCAAAATGTGGACTAGACTTGCATTGCTACTTGGTGGTTAATCCTCTTACAACATCTAAAGCTAGTAATGCACATTGATCAGAAATTGCTGTCTTTTGCTGTCGTCCTGTGCTCAGGAGAGATTCTGAGAACTTTTGGATATATGAAGCTGACTCCATGCTTTGAGAAACTGCTACTTCAATAATAATCATTATCATGAGCAGAAAAAACCCTGCAGACTTCAGATCTGGAATGAAAGCTATGTATAACATTTGTAATTAGAACTGAAGAGCCTAAAATAATTTCTAAAAGGAGTTACTTTGGATAACACACTACTGTACTAAAAGATCAGTCAGATTTACTTTTTCATCACCTCTAAACAAAACAGCAGTATTAAAAATTGAAGCTCAATTGTCACATAAAAGTTGGATGACTTTGAGTAGGTATTCTGTTAGGAAGTAATAATAACATGTGGAAACATTTCATCCTAAACCAGAAGTTGTCTGAAACTGGTAATTATTTTTGCAGTTCACTGCAAATTCAGATGACCTCTGTGGCCTCTCAGAGTCTCTCAGTTTTATATGCATGATAGCATGTTAATGAATTTTCCACTTAAAAGTTTCAGAGGGTTTACACTGCCTTTTTTTTTTTTTTAATTGACAGTGAGCACAGATATCATTCCAGATGCCTCCTAACTTTTGAACTGCTATGAGATGACAAATGAATCTGTGGTGAATTTCATACAATTTAAAAGAAAAGTATTTTTCCTTTCCTGGAGCCAACAGATAAGCCACCAGATAGCAGTGCTTAAGGAGAATAGCAAGTAAATAGGTCTCACGGGGAGAACTTTAATAACATTACCTTTTTTATGAGACTTCAATTGCAAGCATTCCTACCATAATTAAAAAAATTATTAAAGTTAGACACAACACTGTGAAGATATAATTCCTTTAGTGGTTTGCCTAATTAATCTTCAGAGTTAAATTTATTTCTTCTGTTACCACACCTGTGAATCTTTTGCACCAGTGTAACTTATTTTCTAGAGGGGAGTTTTAGATGGTAGAGGTTGGTGTTCAAATGTCAGTTGAGAATTTAAGACAAACTTTTAGAATGACTGTTGGAAAGGTCAGGGAAAAATGAAAACCTCTGCAATAGCAAACTGTGGTCTGGAAACTCATTCTAGATGATACATAGTTCTAGCAAGTTAGTTTTGAAATGACCTCTTTGCCTTGCAAAGGGATCAGAAAGGAAGAAATCACAATCATCTGCTGTTGTTATGGAAAGGAGAGAAGTAGGCAGCTTTTCTTGGTAAACTGCCCAGCACAGGATTTCCAGCTGAGCACAGGAGTTCTCAGGGGGTGAGGCTATGAGCTCATAAGCGAACTACCACAGGGTATGTTAGGTACCTTGTTTCTCATCAGATGGACCAGAGGGCCTGTCTATGTACACTCACTTGCTAGAGTGAGGAAGCCTTCTTTCACTATGGAGTAAGTTGCCTTGAATAAGCTTATATTTACCAGAGAGTCAACATGATGCATTTGCACAGTCATGTAACATAGAAGAGCTGATGCATGATAACCAAGGTACTTGTTCACATGCAAGTCCAGAATGTAGTTCATTAATGCATCTGCTGGGATAGTGCCTCACTCTGGAGACACTGAGAGTGTGTGTGTTTCTGCAGCAGGGTAAGATATGCTGTCCCAGAGGCACTTTGGTGCTGAACGGCTGACTTAGGCACCAAGGTCTTTAAACTCACTGGTTAGATGCAGCAATGCTTGCTACTGTAGCTGCTGCATTCCTGTTTGAATCTGGAAGTAGGACTTCTCTCTCTCAACTTGTCATTGACTTGTTTTTTTGGCCTTGGACAACTAGGCATCAGTTTTGTTCCCATTTTACAGATGGGAACAGTACCTACTTACCTCACAGGAATGGTGTGAGGCCGTCCTTCACTATTGCCTGCCAGATGCTGTGAGATCCTTTGGAGGAAGGTGCAATATAGAAAGAAATGCACAAAGAGATACATCAGATAAGTTTAAAGATATTTGGGTGTTGAGGCCCCACAGGGACATAAATGTGGCTGAAATGTAACCAAAATGGTAAAAATTAAATCCCTCTGAATTTTGTACAGGGCGAAACTCACTTAATAGGATCCAGTTCCTATTAAAGGGAAGGATTTCAGTGGGAGTTGGACCAAACCCTTAAATATCTCAGAGGGCTTTTGCTATTTTTTTTATTGCTGTTGTTATTATTTGTTATTCTTAAGGTACTGAGATCAAATGGCCTATATCATCCACATGCATCAGTTCTGAACACTACAATGCAATGCTGACCATGGTCATTTTTGACATTGACTGTATTGGATGAGTGTTTGTTACTCTGAAGTGTGTATGCTACTAAATAAATGAGACTGAAGAAAAAAAAGCCGCTGTGGTTTGCTCACATTAGAATGATATATTTTCTTCCAGAAATTCCTGAGGGAAGAGACAAAAAGCTATTTATTTCAGTGTTTCTTTTGCTTTTAGTCTTTAGCATCTGGTATTTCCTAAAGCAAAACCAGTTCTAAGACAACTGGAAGCTAACACTGGAGCTTGATTCCAAACCCCATTGTATGTGTTAACTTTAGAATCTGATCCACACAAAGCTTGTTGGCTTCCTTCAAGGTCATCATCATGGCTAGGCTTCGCGAACGAATAGCCTATAGCATACAAAAAGTGTGCATAAAGAGGCACTTGTCAGACTCAGAGCAGTTAACTGTTCCACTGGGCAGTTTTGTATGGCCACAGGAAGGAACACTCAGCATGCCAGGACCAGCAACACTTCTCACCATGAAAGAGTGTATTCTTACCTGCGTGCAAAGTGTACTTAACAGAGAGGGAAGCAAATAACCACCATTAGTGTCTCTTTATTTTGTGTTGCAAATATAGAAGGATACACTTGTCCAGCTTTAAATTGCATAGAAGCAGGCATGTCATCTACTTATGTACAGTAGTCACCCAGAAAGGTAAGTTGGCAAGAAGTGCTTCCATGGTCAGAGGTAATGAGAAATCAAAACAAATTCAGATAATGTGATGGGAAGATGTTGGACATGATATCACTAAGGTCTCTGCATCAGATTGAGAAGGGTGGACAGCCAGGAGGAGAGGACACAACCATGGTTACAGGAGAAACAGTCTTACAGAGCTGTGCTGCTCAAGGGTCTAAGGAAGTGTGGTCCCTGGCTGACACAGCTGTGGAGATGCAAATACATTTGGGAAAACTGTACTTGCAGCAACAGCATCATTTTCTTCTTTTCTGAGTAAGTAGGGGGAGTGTACTGGAGGTGGAATAAGGTACACTTGTAAAAGCTCTTAACTATTTTATTAGTCCTGGAAAGCTTTCTTAGTGCACACCTGCCCATTGACAAATCAGTTGAGAAATTAGCTCAGGAAAAGGGTTGATATGAGGGAAGGACTTTAAATGTATATAAGTAAAAATTCTTTTCCTTTAAAGAGAAAGATGAAGATGTAAAGCACTTAAACTGAGATTATTGATATTCCTGCTTCTGATTTCTTTGTTACTTTTAAACGTGAAAAGAAAGCAAAGACAAAATGAAATTTGCATTATTTTGTTGATAAGTCCCTTCTTTAAAATGTAAGTATGAGGTTTTATGAAGCAACATAAAGTACTAATGCTGAACCCAGAAGAAAAACCAACTCTATACACT